ATTTGAGAGTAGAAAAAATCATGTGTACGGACTTACCCTGACTTCTTAACCATCTTTATCCAGTTTTTATCGCCGTTTTCTTTGTCTCTAAATTTCAAGCACGAGTGATCTTGGATTTCCTTCAACACTTTTATGATGTTCACTCGGGCAGAAGCTGAAGTTTTTCAACAACAAGTACGTAACATTAATTGTTATCTACATGTAAAGACCATTAGCATGGAAAATCCTAATTATACTGAATGGATCCCGATTGTAATAAATGTAATCCATTCACGTTTCAGATAAGGTTTCATTCCCTTGAGTATTATTTCTTTTTTGATCAGTAACACTGATCGACAAAGCATCTTACTTTACTCTTAAAGAAATGACACACTGTCAACAATGGAAAATACGTTAGTTGAATTCGAAAAAAAAATCGAAATGCAATAGTCTCCTTTTTCCCTTTTCTATTCATTCACAATCCGTTTTCCATATTTTGTAATTACCTAATTCTGAAGTCAGTTGTATAGGGATGGTTCTAGAAGGCCAAATTTTCTTTCTTGATCTRATAGCTTTTCGTTTACTTGTTAAACCATTAACATCCACGTCGGCTTTCTCTGCGTTGCCTGTCTGGGAGGTGTCCACGTGACCTTTATCTTGTGACATCAGCTCAATGTCTCCCTCGAATAGCGACATGGTCTTGTCAGTTTTCACTTCTATCRCGTGAYAMAAAAGCAGTAATTTATCATGTGTGTGAGTGACCTCATTGCCGCCATCTTKGATCTTTAGTTGAGTTACGCATTATAATTACATRRTCTTGTCAGTTTTCACTTCTGTCACGTGACACATAAAARGAAGTAATGTGACGCCATCTTGAATTTTGCTTTGGTTTCATTTGTTAATTCAGACAACATGACAGCTAAACATTGTTATTTTATTTTCTTAAAAACAAATGCACACCAAGAGCTACTAATTTCAGCTTTTATCTCTATCACGTGACACTTAAGCGATAATTTATTATTTTAGTGACGTCATAGTCGCCATCTTCAATTTTTTCTTTGGCTTCTTTCGTTGTATACCCCGGCAACATGGCGGCCATGGCTCTTTTTTAATGTTCTTGAAAATTAAATAAATGTCTAGATCTGAAAGCTAGGTTTTGTTAATAGAYATACGAAGTGGTTTTGCTTACTTACCCATGATGTTGTTTTCTTGTATTCGGTCGGTWATTGTATTGTCCTTCAGGTTTTTAGGGAGGGTTCTGTCTGTGCCATCAAACATTGGCGCATGACAACGAGCTAAGTCTAAACAAACATGATCAAAGATTATTAAGACATGAAGAAAATGTTAATGAATGTCGAATGGCCAACAAATGAGCTCTTCAGGGACCGGGGAGGCAAAGTTTTGAAGCTAACATCTAAAAAAGTCTTTTAGTTTATGATATTAGATTTTGTATTTTCTTTATGAGAAGTCATCCGTTTACTTTTTCTTGRGAAAATATCGTTTATGTGAACGACAGGTTTTCAGTCCTACTAGAAACACGACCAAATTCGTTTACAGTTTTTAGGTGGCAAAGTCTAAACATACCGCTACAACGCGTACAATTAATATAACTGCCCATTTGTTTTTCCTGTGATTTTCTATTTCTCTTTGACTGTCTTTTAATCTCGCTATTTCTTTTCTTTTCTCTCACACTCTCCCTTTCTTTTTTCTTCTTTTCTTTCTTTTTCTTCTCCTTCCTTCCTTCAGTTCCTGGGAAGCACGGCTAGCGCGCGTTGCTAATGCGGCCCGAGTTCGAATCATGCCGATCTTGTTGTCGTATGTGAGTAGAATTGTGCTTCGAGGGTTTTTCTCCCTCCTCAAAAATCAACTTCTAAATTCTATTCAATCTTTGGGCTTTCACCTAGTTGGAGCCTAGCTCTGTAATGATGGTCCCACGCTGTGATACAACAGCTAGTAGATTTAGATTTTAGATTTAAAAGTTTCTTATCCTTTATCAGGGTCTTATTGTACGTACAAAGCCAGTTCAAGTACCTTTAAGTGCCCTGTTTTGTCTTGGACGGTGCTTGACCAACCCGTTACAACAGCTAGTAGATTTAAATTTAGATTTAAAAGTTTCCTTCTATTTTTCCTATCCTTTATCAGGTTCTTTTTATTGGTACAAAGCCCGTTCAAGTACCTTAAAGAGCCCGGTTTTGGCTTGGGAGGTGCTTGAACAACCCGTTAAGGGAAACACTAACTATTGACACAAACCTGTCGTAAGAACTAATGTTCTCTTGCCACCTGACGGCGCTATATTATAAACAATTCCCCGCGCTGTTAACATTGGAGTGTTAAAGTGCCCTGTTTTGGCTTGGAMGGTGCTTGACCAACCCGTTATACTATTGACACAAGACTGTTGTAAGGACCGTCGTTCTCTTATCACCTTATGGTGCTATATTATGAAAACAAGTAAAAAAACTACGAAAATAGCACGCGAAAACCMCTTGAACTAAATGCTACTGTAAGTATCTTATTTGAAATCAGGATTCATATCATCAATAGTATTTGTTTSTCTCTGATTTARTTATTGTTAAGWAGACGTTTCGACACCGTTTACCAAATAAAGTGGTCTTCTTCAGTAAAAATGATGAGCTGCGAACGAATAAATGCTGATAAATACTCGTGAATATAGTGCAAAAGTCTCTGTTTTCTATTGTAAAAAGTAAGACTAGTTAGSACATGTTGTTTAGACTAAGTATACAATGTACAAAACACACTGGAATATTTTGCCAATGCCTATAATTAATACGAGTTAGCGTTAACGCTGGTATCCGGTTTTAGTATATTTTTCTTAGGGTGTACATGTCATTCGAATGCGACGCAAATACGACGCCATAATACTTTTTTACATTTATAATYCCTAACTCTTTTCTTACTCTATTTTGGTTTAATGATTTTTTTTTTTAATTTTTATTTGACCCAGTTGCTGTAAATATTAATTGATTCTATCAAAAACCAATGGGGAACCAAGGCCAATGTGAATTACATGCAATTTCCTTGGCAGTTAAGTTGAATAATATATTGACTTATATGGAAACATTTTGATAACCTATTTCATTCTAACTACTTAACGTAGAATCTCTTCTTACACAATAGTTTTACTACCTGCAGAAAGACAAAGGACAAACGTTTAAAAGAAAAAACATATAGCTTAAAACCCACCGTATTGCAGACACGAGACGACGAGTACGAACGCCACAAGCATCACTATAAATGAGCCCAAACCCTAGTCCATGAAACTAAATTTTAAAAAAACTGTCAGTGTTTTGTTTATACTCGATCTGTTTACGGCGGATATACGCTATTCGGCAGGTAGTCGTTGTTTTATTGAAATTTTCYGATTAAATATTGATTTGTCTTTAAATGTTTATGGTCGATTGCCCATTCCATTGTTTATGAACCTGTCAAACAGGCTTTTTTTTGCTCCGGATAATAATATATATATCCTTCGCTACTTCTACTCCCCGGTTCTACTCCGCTCCTCTCGACTCGAAGACGTCCGTAAAGTTTGAGATCCAATCACGTGTCAGTAATTTCCCACGACACTATACAGAGGAAACACCATTTTAATAGGTCGCTATCAATAGACGTCACTTCCGGTAATAGCTGCGTTTTTAATGGCTTGTAGAATCTTGGAGGTTGTTTTGATCTCTTGTTTTCTGGTTTGATGTCGTAGTAATAATCAAATACAATAGTTTGAGGAAGTATTTTAACATTTTTTGCCCTAACATCCGCTAGTTGCCCCTAAGTCAACCGCTTGTTTGCCCCCCCGTCAACTCCAAAAAATCACGTGATTGATAGTAAGCAATAGGAACTCAACCTAAGCCCCAGAAATTTGACATCGTTCAGTGGCAACTGAATTTTATTATACTCTATCGCACATATTATTATCTACTTTCTACAATACAATGTGGTCATTTAGCAGATTTCATATGGAAGCAACTTACTTGTTAGGGGAATTTTAGTTACACAGTTTAACAGGTAAAATAGTTTTGGAGAAAAAATACAGGATGACTGTCTTCAGATAGTAATAAGGGGTATCTGGGGTGTTAATTGTAAKAAAAAACTGGAATCTTGACTTTGGAAAAAATGGTACGCGCGTCTACCCGGAAGAACCGAAAAGAGCGGGAAAAGTAGATTACCTCAATCAGAAGACCGACTTTTCTTGATTTTTCCGATCGGAATACATAACATTTGTTTTCCAGCCGGAGTTTGCGGGTTTTCCTGGTAAATGGTAAGCACCCCTGTACCCTGTATAACAAGACAGCGCGGCTCAGTCATGTTTTACGTGGCTAAAGAACTCTGATTTGATAGTTTCTTGGCGTGGTTCCTTATTGGTTCAGTCGCAAAATYCCACATAAAACCTGCTCTATTTCCAATGAACACCAAAAACTAGTTTTCTACTATCTACTGCTAATCTAAGTTTCCATGTCATATCCGGTTTCCTGTGCATGTGTCAGTCTCTATGGTACGTTTCAAGGCGATAACGAGAAGCCATCGTCACAAACAGAAACAGAAGGCCTGTCGTTATGTATCCGCTGAYTGTGGGCTGTTCACTGAGCCGGGAAGTTGCTCGTCCCATAGGTSGATGAAGGGGAGAGCCATTGGTTGTTGGTGAACGTCGCAGAGGTTCCGGTGCCTGGATCGGTGATTGTGAACTGTTAGCATAAAAAAAAAAGATCTTTTTTTAGGATTTATTAATTACATGCACACATTTTTGGGGTTGCTTAATGAATCAAGACAAGAGAGAGCGCTTTAACTTTATGCTTTTGACTGATGATAGAATGAGAATGTATTCATTTCCTACCGTATTTGGCCACCAAGCTTCCCCAGATCCATGGGAGACCATTCTGACTGAAATCCCAGTAATACTTCCCAAGTCATTTCGATAAGCCATGTAGTTGAATGTGTCGTCTCTGCAACATTCAATAAGAACATTCTCATTGATAAAATGCAAGTTACGCGCTCACAGCCGTAACAMAATATGCATGATACAGGATACGCTAAAATAATGCGCGACRCAACCGCAACACAGGCCACGGATGGTTGATACGACTGGACAATACTATTGCGTGACATGTCACGACAGGTTATACCAAAATATGGCGTGACACAACATAGGTCTTTCAGACTTAGAGTCGACAAATTCAACAAAGAKCACGATGAACAAAAAGTGTTTGTATCAAAGCGAGACCAAAATGCATGATCGGGCTTTACAGGATAGGAACGTTACACAAGACATTACAACTACTCCACTTAAAATATATATTGGAATTACAAAAGTTGTAGTTCCACAGTGTAGCTCTTCTTCCACTAAATAGTCCAGTTGAAATGTTGTAGTTGTTTTTGCGGATGGAGGAGAGCCCCAGAACCCGGAGAAAAAACACCCGACAAGCTGCTACTCTATTCACAAATAACAACGTGGTAATCATGATCATACAATTTGTTTATGTACGGGTAACACTGCTAAAATGTTCAACTGTCCATGATGCACAAACTAGTACTTACGATCCGGACTCAAAAAGATTGGCTGATGWATCCGTAGAAAGGTCGAGTTCAAATTCTGTAGAYGTTTGCTGGCTTCCATGTAGAGTYAGGTAGATAAAGCAGTCGGTTCCAGACCACCACGATGAGTCAGTGACCACTCGCACGGTATAGTATTTGTCTGTAGCAAAGAAATAAAGCCTACTGAGGCTGGGCATGGTCTTCTAAAGAGGTTCGTCTCTCATCTTTTGAAAGACTTTTTACTGACTACTATTAGCTACTCCGAAATTGAAAGGAAAAGACTGGGTCAACTTGGCATTGYATTACATTCTGGGGCTATTTTAAAAGGAAGAAATAAACGCCATCTTGGATATATGCTCCTAAAACGGTACCACAATGCACAGCAGTGCCAACTCGACCCAGGTTCTTCCACAACTTCGGGTTGGCTAATTGCTGGGGTTTCAATCAGCTGATAAAAGTCTTTGAA